CCGCATTCTAGTTCTGTCCCAGTTAGGCTCACATCATAAACAGCATTTCTAATATATATAAACACAATTATGTTCTCGGTAACTCGGTATCTTTCCACTTACTTCTATCCTTTCTACACATAAAGTGTGTGGTCTCAAATTAACGCAAATAGTGTTTCATACTGAGACATTGTTCGTGAATCTCATTTCTTGCCTGAGTCTGTCATAATCTATTTTTGGCCTGTTTCAGTGTTCGTGTGTATTTTACATGTATTGTATGTTTTTTTCGTGGCTCTTTTAGCAATTGGGTTAAATCTCTAGAAGGGAAGGGATCTTTATGAATCTGACACTATAACCTCTCAATTTCATACCATGTATAATTCGTCTACAGTGGTAGATTATGTCCTCAGATACTGGTTTTCTGTCTCCCAAAAATATTGCATGTTTGTTCATATCATTCACTTTGTTTCAATTTTTCCAGCATTGCAGTAAATTCGGCTTGAGAGAGAGGGGAAGAAAGAGAGAGAGAGGGAGGGAGAGAGAGAGAGAGAGAGAGAGAGAGAGAGAGAGAGAGAGAGAGAGAGAGAGAGAGAGAGAGAGAGAGAGAGAGAGAGAGAGAGAGAGAGAGAGAGAGGGAGAATGATAGGGGGGACAGACAGACAGAGTACGAATGTGTGTGTGTGTGTGTGTGTGTGTGTGTGTGCGTGTGTGTCCATGCACGTACTACAGTAATAAAAGGCACATAATGTCGCTTTTACGCCGGAGTTTACCACTGTAGTGTACTGTTTCTCTGCCCTGCATAGCAACACCCCACACTAACCCGAGGACCCTCATAGACCCTTGCAATGATTCTGCAATATTCAACACTGCAATATCCGATCGCGGGGAGCTGTGTCTCCGAGATGAGGACGACGTTGCTGTATTAGTGGCCGTTTGGTGTCTCGTGTCTGGGCTCCGGTGCCTCATGCTCTCGCGATAGATGCTGAGGAGACTTGTGTGTCTGCCATGTATGTCTGCATTTCAGTCAATTTCGACTCACACACATACCTGTATACATACACATGCACATACACATACACATACACATACATATACACATACACATACATATACACATACACATTCATAAACACATACGCATATGCTAAGCATGCACATACACATACACGCACTCATATAACACACAAAACGCTAACACACATTCATACATGTACACATACATGTACACATTCATTTTAGAATATCTATTTCTTCTCATTGCAAAATCTGAACATCAAATTTTCTTAATCTGAACATCTGAAACAAGCTTTTTCCCCACCTGCAAATTCTAGTTTCGATTTCTCATTTAAAAAGATAATAATGATATCTATTTCTCTTCATCCCAAAACCAGACCTTCATTCCCTTCAATTCTGCACTCTCCTGGCATTGCAAAACACCTCAAACGACTGTGCTTCATGTCACAGACAGGCATTCGTTCGGCCCCTTAAGCTAGTAATTAATCTAAACGTGCCGCGTCATGTCAGATCAGCCCGTTTATCCCTCAAGTCACGTCATGTCACTCCGCCACACACACGAGAACCTAACGTAACGTGACGGACCCAAGTGACAATAACCAAAGGCGTCACACCTCATGTCTAAGGCACTCGCTCACGTCGGAGAGACTCTGAGGCGCCGGGGGAGGGGGGGGGGGGAGACGTGACGCGACTTTCGACGGAGGGCACGTGGGGGGAGGGGGTGCGGGTGAGAGGGTGTGTGGGGGACGAAGAGAGAGAGTAAGAGAGAGAGAGAGAAAGAGAGGGCGAGGGAGAGAAAGAGGGGAGAAGAAGGAAGGATGACAAAGATAGATAGGTAGGTAGATAGATAGATGGATAGAGATGGAGTGAGAGAGAGAGAGATAGAGAGAGAGAGGGAGTGTATATATATATATATATATATATATATATATATATATATATATATATATATATACAAGGTTGTGCGTACAACCGTGTGTGTGTGTGTGTTTATGCGTATGTTTTTATGCGTATATGCATGTTTAGGGAACAAAATTATCCAAACCATCGTAACCCATAATGCTATCAATTATCTGCAACACAATTAACGCCAGATTGCCAAACGCCGCGTCGACAGCCAGTGCCAAAGTGAATACCCTTACATCATTCTTAAAGGGGAAATACTCATTATCCTTCTCCCCTCCCTCCCCCCCCTTCCCCCACCCTCTTTCCCTCCCACTCTCCCCCCCTCTCCTTCCCACCCTCATACCCCCCCCTCCCCGCTATCTCCTCCTCCCTATCTCCTCAGGGCAACCTTGAGTTCTAATTTAATTGTGTATGGGAGAAACTAAAGGCGAAGGGGGAGGAGGAGGAGGACAGAAAAGGTGGGAGAGGGAGAGGATGGGGAAGAGGAAGGGGAAGAGGGATTGGGAAGGAAGGGAGAAAAGGAGGGGGGAGGGGGTATAGGAAGAGAAGGGAAAGGGAAAGGGGATCTGGATGGGTAGAAGATGGGGAAGGGGAAAGGGAAGAGGAAGAGAAAGGGGAAGGGGAGTGGGGAGTGGGAGAGAAAGGGAAAGGGGATTTGGATGGGGAGAAGATGGGGAAGGGGAAGGGGAAGGGGAAGGGGAAGGGGAGGGGGAGTGCCAGAGATCCTTGTTATAGGACATGTCTTCTTGGGGAATATCGTATCCACTTTCATTTGTGTGCGTGCTTTTATATTTTTTGAGTGGAATTATGTGCGA